CAAAGTCATCTGCAGGATTTGGGAAGGAATTGTGGTAATGGAAACTGCGGCTGTGAAAGCACTCTGAGGAAACGGGGCTTGGGCTCCACACCAAGCCATCACCCCGCTCCTGGTGTTCGTAGGGATTCTTTCTATCCCAAGGTGCTTTCCACACTCTAAATCTGTCCTTGGGCATCACCTAAACACAACAATTTCAATCACACACACACTAAAGCCCAAGGAGAAGAAATCTTTTCTCCCTCTCCTTTCTCTCCAATGAGGATCTTCCCATCAGCTTTAATTCCCTTCAGATCAGGTTTGGGATGGGATTTGGGGGTTTTCTGAGGTTTTTTAGCCACGAACATCTCCAGTATAAAGCACACCCTCCCCAGTGACACCCTGGCCTTGGGGCCAGCTGTTCACACCCAGTTCTGGGGAAGAAAAGGGCGAATTGGGTTCCTTGAATTCCCCTGAGCAGCAAGACCCTTCCCCTCCTCACCTCTGAGCAAGGATCCAAGCCCTCCCTGCTCAAACTCAGGCTCCAAGACCTCCTTCCCTTCCCTGCTTTCCCATGGAACCCTTTCACCCCCTGAGGATGCCCCAGCCCCAATCCCAAACCCTTTTCCAGCCCCTGGCTCTGCAGGGCCTTGGCTGCTCCTCCAGGAGCTGCTCCCCTGCCTTGGTTTCCTGGATCCAACCCCTGGTCCTGGGTGGGATTTTTTGGACAATTTGAGGTTTTCAGCTGGAAAATTAACCTTGGAAGGGGGTGAGAGCATAGCCTGACCCAGCAGCACTGGTGTTAAAGTGTCCTCCAGGCAGAGCTGCTGCAGGTGGGCATTCCCTGATGGTGCAAACACAACCTTCACACAGACCTCTCTGAGGGCACCAAGACCTTTCCCAGCACCCATCCTGGCTTCCCAAAGCTCTGTGGAGTCCTCAGGAAATCCCTGCTAGAGTTTGGGCTGCCTTCCACCCCAGCAGCAGCAGCCCCTCCTGTAGTAATTTGGGATGGGACCCTAAATCTTGGATGTCCCCCCAGTTTTCCAGCTGCCCCCAGCCAGCACAGCTCTGGGGGTCAGTGCAGAGGGGGGCAAGGAAGGGATGGGGAAAACTCTCTGATTTCACAGAATCATGGAATTATTAAGGCTGAAAAGGATCTCTAAGATCATCAAGTCCGACCATCACTGCCAAATCCACCACCCCATCCCTGAGCACCACATCTGTAGTGTTTTTGGAGCAAGGGCTTTACCCCAGTGTTTGGCTTTTCATGTAGAAATAGAGAATTTCTGCCTTTCTGCTGGGGGCTGGAGGCTCAAAAAGAATTGGGAGACATATCTCAACAAAGGGTTCATCCAGGTCTGCAAACCACAAACCAGCAATTAGTGGGAGGATCCCTGATGTCCTGGCCCATAACAAAGCCAGACAAATAAAACATTAGCTGGGGAATTAATTACAGGCTAAACAAATTAATTATGGGTCCTCAATCAATGCCAACACAAACACCTGGGTGTGAAAGCAGATCAACCCTGCAGCAAGGATTTCCTGAGTGCCTTTGACTCAAACACCCCTCAGAGCTGCCTCCTGGGGCTGGAACTCATCCCTTGTGCTCTCCTGGTTGTAAAACCCCAAGGAAAGCTGAATCTCCCTAAAATAGATCCCAGAAAAGTCCCAGTAAAGCAACAACAATGCCCACAGACCTCTGGTGTACAAGGAAAAGGCTCAGTGCAACTCCCAGAGCACAATCCCTGTCCCCCCTGCTCTGCAGGCAGGGCAGGCAGCTGCTCTTGTGGCAGAAAAGGGGAAAAATATCCAGCAATTCAGCAATTTAGGGCTGGAGGAACACAAAAACCAGTTCTCTGCAAATAAAGGAGCAGAAAGGCCAGAGAAAGCGAGAGCAGCAGACAGGTAAAGGGGCTCAGGAGAGCTCTGAGGATGTGGCCCTTGCACAGCAAAGAAAAAACCTGAAAGGAAAATTTGGCATTATATGGCTGAAAAAGGAACCTGGAACAGGGAGGAAACCCCATTTTTTTTAGTAAACAAACAAAGATGGTGCAATTTTTTACACAAAGAATTACCCCAAAGCCACTGGTGATTTCTTCAAGGCTAAAATAACTCAGCATGTGCAGGAGGTTGGAACCATGACCCAGCAAAGGCTGAGTGAAGAGCATCCCTGCCCTCAAACACAGGGCTGATAAAACCCCAATAAATGCTCCACCATGCCAGGAGCAGCCTCAGTTCTGCACACACTGGGGGCTGCTCTTAACCAGGGACTCCTCAGAAATCTGCACATTCAGAGCAGAACCATTTCTCTGCATTTTATTGTAAAATAACCCCAGCGCTGCTGCTTATTCAAAGATTTGACACAGCTCAGCCCAGATCCTGCAAATTAAATCCTCTCAGGTTGGAATGGTCAAGGACCACTCAGTGCTGATCACTTCTGAAGCTGCTTCAGGGTGGAAAGTGCAGCTGGAAAGCCTGAGGAGCTGCCTCCACCAGCAGCTCTGCAGCATTTTTCTGCCAAAATTCTGCTTTGCAGAGTCCCATCCCTGCCTGCCCCAGCTTGGGGACAACCACTGGGGGGACACGAGCAGCAAGGGAGGAGCTGTGTCCGTCCCAGTGGCTTCTGGCCACCTGCAGGTTTGCAGCCACCACCTAGAACATAAAGAAAAGGAATTTTTCCTTACCGACAGCGGGGAATGGCACAAACCTCTGGATCAGCAGCCTAGTGGCCGGGGTAAACTTGTTGGCTCTCTGGATCAGAACATTAAGGCCCACCTTGGAATGGAGAAAAGCAAACCAGAGGAGCAGAGAGTTAATGACCAGCAGCAGGGCAGATGGCACAGTTTGGGGTCCCTCCCCATGAAAATATGTTTGAGAACTAAACCTCCCCCAGCTGCAGGGTTTGGCTGTGTTGGGTTCAACCCTTTAGTCAATACAGGGTTAAATACAATTATTGAGATCAAAATAAGGGTTGAACCCAATCTTTGGGCTTAAATGAAGTGTTGAAGCCAATTCTTGGGTTTAAATGAAGGATTGAACCCAACTTTTGGGTTTAAATGAAGGGTTGAACCCAACTTGGGTTTGTATGAAGTGTTGAACCCAACCATTGGATGGAACCCAAACATTTGGTTTAAATTAAAGATTGAACCCAACCCTTGGGCTTACAAGAAAGGTTGAACCCAACTCTTGGGTTTATATCAAAGTCTGAACCCAACCATTGGGTTTAAATGAAGCATTGAACCCAACAATTAGGTTTATCCAAAGTGCTGAACTCAACCACTGGATTGAACCGAACCATTGGGTTTAAATGAAGGGTTGAACTGTTGGGCTTAAATGAAGAGCTGAACCCATCACTGGGTTTAAATTAAGGATTGGACCCAAGTATTGGGTCTACACAAAGCATTGAACCCAAAAGTTGGACTGGACCAAACCACTGGGTTTAAATGAAAGTTTGAACCCAAACTTTTCTTGGGTTTATATGGAGTGTTGAACCCAGCTGCTGGTTTACATGGAGGGTTGAACCCAACCATTGGGTTTAAACCCTTCCCAGCTAAAAGATAAGCCAGAACCCATTCCAACAGCATCCAGTCCTTCTGGAATTGCCCTTGGCTGGATTTTTGCCCAGATCACCATCATTTTCCCCATCCACCACAAAATCCTTGGGAGTGGCAGTCCTCACCTAGCTGGGAAAAACCCAAATTTCAGTGGTGGTGGTGGCCCAGCACAATCAATTCCTTCTCCAAGGGTCTGGACTACACAACCCCATGCAGTGCCAACATTTGGGCTGTAAAGTTTATTATAACTATGGATTTATTTTTGTTTCCTTGTCCAACCCTTGAATAAAGCAGAACTCTCCACAGTTTTTCATGGATCTGGGTCGTTGTGGATGTTCATAGAAACATAGAGGAGTTGCTGCCTCCTGACTCTCACATTGATAATGCTGAAATTTGGGAGAATTTCCATCAACATTGGCTTCATGCACACATGGCATTAAAAATTAACCAAATCTATTGGGGAATGACTTCAGTCTTTAAATTACTCTTCTTCACAATATTTTCTCTTTTTCAACCCCCCTTAAAAAACCCCAAATGCACAAACTAAACAGCCCCAACGTGGGAATTTTCAGCTGGAAATGGACGCCTTGAGCAATGTGTGGCCAAAATGTTTTCAACCCAAAATGCAGCAAAATTAAAAATTTTTTTAAAAAAATCAGCCAAAACCAAAAAGCTGCCAGAAAAAAAAAGCAATTTTTTGGGTGGGTTTTTTTTCTTGTTTTTTCTTTTTTTTTGGAGGAGGGGGTTTAAAAGCAAAGAGAAGCCTGGGGGAAGATATTTTGCAGGCTGCTACATTATACATGCACATCCCAGCTCATCCCGGCGTGCCGGAGCCTGGGAGGAAGAGGGGGAGAAGCACAACTGCTGGGTAAGCCCTGCATGAGCACAGGGCTGCTTCTCCAGCCCCAGGAAATATTGCCAGAGCCTTTCCCAAGGTTTTCACCCAGATCAAAGCAGGAACTCCTCCTCTTGTCCTCAGCGAGTGCAGCTCTAGAACTGAGTCCAAGAGAGCCATGGTGACTCTGCTTAGTCTGGACAGCAGTGGGGGCTTGTCTTGAACTTCCCCCCCTCAAAAATGACTGAATGATTTATTTTTTTTAATTTTCCAATTGTTAGGATGAGTCTTTTCAAAGTCTGAACACCTCCATAAACTGTAACACAGTCTGAAATGTGTGGCTTTAAGAGAAGCCAGTTTTAAGCCTGGCTTTGCTGGTCTGCCCCATGGATTTGGGTATTCATTCTGGATATGGTTAATCTGTGTCCATGACAAATTTTGTTGGGTTTGCAGCCCTGCTTGGAGGTTTGGTGGAGGATTTGACAATGAAGTGGAAGGGCAGCAGCTTTTGAAAGAGAAAAGCTGAGTCTGGGAGAGCCACCACTGTGAGGGCAGTGAAATAAAAGCATTTTATTTCCAGATTTAATGTGATGAACTCAGTCCCCACTTACAGCAACCCTCCTGCTAGGAACATGAAATTAAATGTTGCTGGAGATTAAATCCCATCTCCAAATCCTCAACACAAGGGCTGGATATAGGAAACTAATGAGGGTTTGTTTTCTACAGTTTGGAAATTGCTGTAGCTGATCTGTGAACTCCTTCCCACAGGTCATGAGGTGGGATGAGGGTAAACAGGGCAGGAACTGCTCAACCTCAGGCCACCAAAGCAAAAGGCTAATCAAGGTGATGTTGATGAGTTTAATTACTTGGGATTGGCCAAAGGATGCTGTTGAGGCAAAGTCATCATTAAAGATCAACCCCATGTTAATTATTGTGACCATCACCCAGTCACTGAGCAGGGTCTGCAGCACTGGTGATGGAAACATGGAACAGAACCAGAGGGAATTCACCCCACCCAAGCTGGCACAACCACAGAAACACCAAGGCAGGAAAAGCCCTTCAAGATTGAGTCCAGCCATCCCCAGCACTGCCAGGGCCACCACTGCCCCATGTCCCCAGGTGCCACAGCCACAGGACTGTGAAATCCCCCCAGGGATGGGGACACCAGCCCTGCCCTAGGCTGCTGTGCTTGACAACCTTTGGTGAAGGAATTCTTCCTGAAATCCAACCTAAACCTTCCCTGGCACAGCCTGAAGCTGCTTCCTCCTGTCCTGTGGGGCCCTTTGCAGCTCAGCTTCTCTGGGCAGCCTGCTCCAGAGTTTGACAGAACCCCAGGATGGTTTGGGTGGGAAGGGACCTTAAAGAACATCCAAAGCAAGGACACCTCCCACTGTCCCAGGGTGCTCCAAGCCCCCATGTCCAACCTGGCCTGGTGCACATGGTCCATACTGTGACCAGATCAAATCCAGCTTTCTCCAATTGCCTGGTTTGCTGAGGTTTCCTCCTCCAGACCACTCCCTTGGTGTGGCTGAGGGAGCTGGGGGAATTGGACACAGGGACACAGGAGTGGACACAGGGACACATGGCTGGACACACGGACACATGGCTGGACAGACTGACACATGAGTGGACACAGGGACACATAAGTGGACACAGGAATAGGGGGCAGGACACAGGGACACATGTCTGGACACAGGGACACAAGAGTGGACACAGGGAGAGATTCATGCTGACCTGACACAGGGATATGTGAACGGACACAGGGACACGAGTGGACACACAACTGGACACAGGGACACACAGCTAGATATGTGACTGGACACAGGGATATGTGACTGGACACAGGGACACACAGCTGGACCCAGGAATATGTGACACCAGCCCTTCCTAACATCCCTCAACACTAACCCGGGATCAAACATGGCCAGTGGGAGAGAAACCTCACCCAGGGCTCTGCTGTGCCTCTGGCAGCACTCTGCCCTTCCTCCCTCCTCCTCCTCCTCGAGTGCTAAGAATTCCTGCCATTTCTTTAGCTCCTGTTTTGTTTCAGCATCAACAACATTCCCTCAGCAGAACGTTTGTGATGTCATTGCACTTTGAAGCAGAACCATCAGACTGTCAGAGACCAATGTTTCCGATTCCTTTTCTCCTCCTTATCTCACAAAGTTCCGACCTCATGTCTACCAAGATTCCAATTCTAAAACCATGGGAAATAAAAAAAAATCCTTGCTTTTTTTCTGCCTTTTTATGAAGATTTTTGAAGCCTGAGAGATGGTTTTGAATGCCTGACATTGGCAATGACCAAGCCTACACCTCTTAAACCCAGCCTAGAGCAGTAAATCCATCAGAGGAGTTATTTCACTTCATATTGGGAGGGAATTTTTATGAAATAGAGGAATCTCAGGAGTCCAGTGAGTATTAGCTGGTAGACACCACCCAAACATTGCTTCATGGGCTGTGCTGGAGAAATCCCCACTGATTTAGGGGATTTACTCGTCCTGAGCACTGCAGCTGGAGCTGGCTGTTCAAAGGACCTGGAAAGTCAACTTGGAAAGAGGGACAGGCTCCAAAGGAGGTTATCCCTATCCCCCAGTCACCAGATTGGATTAGAACTAATTGGATCTGATGAGTCCCATCCAGCCAAGCTGGAGAAAAGAGCATTAGGAGAAGGAAGGAAAAAACTCATTCATTAGGGCTGGGAGGTGAAGATGGAGGCAGAGAGATGGAAAACTGGGCTCTTTCCCAACTGGAGCTTTCCCAAGCCAAGGAGAACAGAATGGAAGAGTCTAAGGGAAGGGAAAGCAATCAGGATCTGAATGGGGAAGGAACTTGGAGAGGAGTAAGAGTAAGGGAAGGAGCAGACATCACTCCCAAGACAATTCCAGCAGGGATGGCCACAGCAGCCCCACAGCTGGATGCTTCAAGGGAAGAGAATGGTGCAGCCTGGAGCAAGGCTGGAGGAAAGTGGGATTCATGCTGAGAACACAACAAACTTGGTTTGGGAGATGGTGGAGCAAGGAGGATGAGGGGCCATGCCCAGGACAAGAGGGAGTTGTCTCATATCAAGTTTTCCATGCACCTGGATCCTGTCCAGAGGCAGCAGCACTGCTGGGGTGGTGGGGATGGGCTGGGGCAGTGGGAAAGGAACGGACAAGAACAAACCTGCTGGAAATGGAAACATCCCAGTGGAATGAGAGGGAAAAGGCTGCAGAGAGGCACATGGAGTTTGGGAAGGGACAGTCATAGGGGGAACCTTAAGCATCATTGACTTCCAACTCCCTGCCTTGGACACCTTCCACCATCACAGGCTGCTCCAAGCCCTTCCAGCCTGGCCTGGGACACTCCCAGGGATGGGCCTGGCAGCACCCAGCAGGTGCCAGGTGCTC